AAATCCTCAGTCCTTTTGTGCTCTGCATTTCCCAGTCCTTCAGAGAAGGTTTGCATCCCCAGAAAGAGCTGCTGCAGCCTCAGAGACAGCTTCAGTTTCTGTATTGTAGCCTAAATATTCTTGTCCTGGATTGCCCTTCTGCTTTCCTGCACATTCTCCCACTGAATGCAAGCACTGATGTGCAAGAAGTGTCTTGTTTAGCTGAGATAAACGTTTTCCCCAGGTGCTGTGCAGAGTTAACACACATTGTGAGATGCCTCAATAATTGCACAGGAGCTCTGTGTCATGCCTGTGTTATGTCTGATAGTCACCAAAGGCTGGATCCTGTGAGCACTGAAGTGAAGGTAAAGCTACCTCTGACTTTACAGCACAGGGCTTAATCCCAGAGAGAATCCATAGTAAGTATATAGCACAGCTCTGCAAACTCACAGCCCAAATCTTCTTGTCCTGATGCTGAAATCTTCTGCTCCTAGTCCTTCCTCTTCCTTTTAAGCAAGCAGGTCAAGTCACCTCTCAGCTGCTGAAATCCATCAGTGTACAGGAGCCCTGCCTGGAGGCATTGCTAAGAATAGTGTCTAAGAACAAGGGGAAGAGAGGAGTGAGACTGGAATGGGATTTGGCCACTGCCATCATCAGTTAGACTCCATCTCACTTCCTACAAGCAGTGGAGGCTACATAACACTCAGTTAAGGATGATGCTCTTACGTGACAGTCTTCTGCTTCTCAGAGTGCTGAAGTTAATGGCAGGGCTGCCCAAAAGCCAATGCTCTTGCCCTGCTGTAAGATCCATTACTGCATCCCTCACCTCTCCAGCTCAAGCTGCTGTGAGTGCAGGACTCTCACCTGTCTGTCTGCATAGACTGAGCTGCAGGCTCCTGAAACAAAGCACAAATGAGTCTCTTAGAAGAAGCTGTATTTCAGCAAAATGCCATAGAAACCACAGCTGCGTTACGGAGGGCCTTTTCCCTGGCATTATGCAAGAGGTAATTATGTAAGTTGTTGTTATGTAATATTTCTGGCTTTTTTGGAGTGCCAGCCTCCCCCTGACCACGGCAGTGTGTATTACTTACGTCACGTCACTCTTTATACAACCCAGGCTCACAGCAGAGCTGGGGCTGCTGTCATCACCGCTCCCAGCCATGGGACCCTTGGCTGCTCTCAGGGCTTTTTAAAAATTATGTTGTGGGGAAAAAAATAGCTCATTGAAAAGAAAAAGATTATTTGATCAAAATATCTGTTTGTTCCTCTGAGACATTTTGCTGTGTAAGCACACAAGATGGTTTGGGTTGTTTCTTGAGGAAGGACTGGATTTTGGAACATCTCTGTCTATTTCTTTCTGGAAAATTCATTTCACAAACGTACTTCAAATGAAAAAGAAATGTGTGATTTCTGCCAGTGCCTCTCTCTTGGGTGCCTATTTCCCCACTTGCAGCAGGTCTGGCTGCAGAGGAAACAGAGATAGATATTTGTTCTCTTAACCACCAAGGCAGTGTGGGGGACTGCTGGGCTCTTTAACATTCACTTTCCAGCCCAGGATTGGATTTGTCTCTTCACAACACTGATACTCTAGGGAAAAAAAAGTGAATACGGCCAAAAAAACTTGGGTCTGGTCCATCCCTGGGGCTGGTGTGTGTTCCTCTGTGTCCCCCAGCTCCACCTGGGCGCTGAGCCCCATAGGAATAACGCCAAAACAGCTGGTGAAACTATACCCAAGAGCCGATCCCTGCTCTTTCTCTGGTGTGTCTGTGGGCTCAAGTGAGTCACAGAATTTCCCACCAAAGAGGAGGACAAGTGGCATTTCTGTCCATGGAATTGTGGCATGTTCTAAATTAATTAATACCTGTAGAAAGGTTTGCCAGCTGTAGAGGGTGGAGCAAGGCAGAGGTGAGATTGCATCCACTGTTTTGCCAGAGACTGCTCTTCACCTGCCTGCTGAGCCTGTAAGGTCGGGACGCCTTCCCTAAGCACCTTTGGGTAGCATTTTTGGGTAGAAACAAACCCCATGAAGTTTCTAGAACAGTGTTTCTCCTCGCGGCAGTACCCTGAGTCTCAGCTGTAGCTCTACTGCTGTCCCATGGGATATTCCCCTGTCCCCATGCCACCACTCCAGCCCTCTGCAATATCAAGGCTGCGGGGCAGGGGGGAAGGCATAGCACCCCAAGTGGCCAAGGAATAACGATGTCTCTACAGCCCGCACTGAAAACGAGCCCCTTACAGAAGCTCTGCACCCAACGCTGCCTGCCTGCCTGCCTGCCCCGGGGTCACCCTCCTACCTCCGGAATGAGAGCGCTGCCTGTCCCGAGCCTCCAGCCGCGGCAGGGCCGGGACGTGCCCCGGTGCCCGCGGCTCGCTGTCCCGTGGCCACGAGGTGGCAGCAAGGCCTGGCCCACGGGGCCGGAGCCGCGGCACCCCCGCGCCGGGCCGGGCCGGGCCGGGCCGGGCAGCGCTGCGGGCCCAGGAGCGGCCGGGCTGGGGAGGGTCCCCGGGTCAGCCAGGGCACCGCACCCCGCTCCAGCAGGGGCTGCTCCTGCCTGGCCGTCCGAGGCGCTTTGCAGTGGGGTGAAAGCGGCCGCACTGCGCCCCAAAGCCTGGCCGAAAGCAGCCGAGGTCCATTGCTGCTGGTTCAGTGACAGCTTCAGGTGTGGGGGCAGAGACGCAGCCACGTGTGCCGGCATGGCCCCAGTGTAGGCAGAGCTGCTTGAAACAGGCTATTCAGTCACCTGGTACGCTTTAAAGGAGGCAGCCCCTGTGCTGGCTCTCTGTGCTTTGTGTTTATCCAGATGATTATGCAAGGGATAGATTTTGCCCCATGGGGAAGACAAGAGGACTGTAGATACTAAAATGTTGTGTCCTTTTCGTGGCTGCGTGGTTGAGGGGTGGTCTGGTGCACTATAAAACTTCTAGTATTTCTGTAGACTATTTATTTAAGCTCTAGGGAGAAAAGCTTATGATTTCATTTCATTACTACTTTGCTTGCAGAAAAAAGCAATATGGAATCTCATACCCATTTTAAGTATTCTGACCATTTAATGTTAATGTCCATACCAGGACTTTTGGCTTCACAGCCCTGGGGAAAGCTGCAGAGAGCAGAGGGTCGACCAATTTAAAATGGAATTATTACAGCAACTGCGTAGTTCCAGCTTGGGGAATATATAGAGAGAGCTTGGTGCATAAGCAGCAGCCTCTCATGTACCAGGAGCACGTTTCTGTTGTGTCTGAAAGATGTGTAAACTAGTAAGGTCAGTGTCAGGATCCTGCCCAGGCCTGGAAGGATACAAATGCTTCATTACTGCTGTGAGCACATGGGCAGTGAGGCTGCAGATATGTCATCTCCCCTGTTTCAGCCCTGTGCTGTGGACAACTGCACAGGGAATGAGTTGGAGGAGTACTAACCTCTATTCCATAAGATTAGCTTAGTTTGGCTAATTGGTAGTGACCTGGTGTTTGCACAGGTAAATCAGGATGAAATCTTGAAATGGAAGTGTTGGATGTAGATTTTTGGATGTGAAGCAAACTAGTGCATAGAGGAGATGGAAGGGGAGGATTTCAGAGTCTCAAGTTGACTTGGCTGACAGAGGCTTGCAACATGTAATGGCCAAAATGTCCTTATCTCGAGGCTTGGATGCCAGCTGACACCTCCACTGGGCTTTTGCCACCCTTCTTACCCACAGCATTCCCTTTAAACCTCTGTGTTTCTAAGGCATGTGAGGCTCTGTACCTCCATCATCCTTGCTGCCCATTGTATGTGGGCACTTCTCTCCCCTTGCAAGGCTGGAGCAGGGAACCTGTACGGAATGGAAGGGTGCAGGGGCACTGATGAGGCTCAGGTCCTGCAGCACTGTGCTTGACACTGTGGGGTTGAATCCTCTTCTCCTGAATTCCAAGGCAGGTCTTCAGCCTCTAGTTGATATTTCTTGCCTGCCTTCTCCTTGGAAACATCCAGAGCCAGGTGCACAGTTCGGGACAGCAGCACTGGCTGGGCTTTGTTATCAGGCTATGCTCTGACTGCAGCCACCCCCGGAAGGGACCAGTCACCCCGCTGGTGTGCCTGGCCATTACCAGTCCTGACAGAAAGTTTAGGAGCCTTACCAAAGCATATCCACATGGTTTGTCAGCTCACTGGCTTTTTCTTCCAAGACTGAAATTTGTTTGGCTTGACAGAAGTAGCCAGAGAGCAGAACTGCTGATTGGGTGGGTGTTGAATGTAGCTTTGCTATGTCCTTGTGTCTCTGGTCTGCTGCAAATTACCTTCCTGGCTCAGTTGTACATCTCTTGGCTCTAATATCCAGACTCAGCCATCAGCTAATCCTAGATATTTCCCAGAAGAGCAGGCAGCAGGATCCTGGCAGGCAGATCTGGGGGAACTGGCTCTGATACAGCTTTTATCCCCTCATTCCTCCTGCAGCAGGTGGGGAAATGGCAGGGCTGCTTTGAATATGGTTATCTCTTCAGGGCATGTCACAAGTGGTGTGTTACCCCAGGAGAAAAGGATGGTGAGATCATTATGGGAAAGGAAAGGCCTTTGAAGTGATGGAGTCAATGCTACTGGCTGTCCTGACCTTTTCTCCTGCCTGCCCTTGGCAGGCCCGGAGACAGGGAGGCAGGGTGGCCTTGCAGATGACTGGGCTCTTCAGAAATCTCCTGCCATAAAGCTTGACACTGTCTCTGGGTCCTTAGGAACCTGGGACAGGCTCCTGGCACAGCATTCCGGCAGTGCCCTTTCTGTCTAGAGTGGGACATGTGCCAGTCCAATACGAGAAGCAGAAATTATGCCATCAGTGGCACCCACAATAGTACCTGACCCAAAATAGCTTCCTAGAAAAAAACAGAGAGACTGATTAGGTTAGACAAGCCTGAAAGAGAGCAAGAAGTCCAGCTGATGATTGATAGGTGTAGGTTTGTGGGCAGGGGCTATAAATCCCACGGGTGAGCTCTCCAGCTACCCTTTGGGGAAAGGCAAACGGCTGCAGGAAGCACTCGGGACCTGTCTTTGGTGAACCATGGGGCTCAGTGACCAGGAATGGCAGCAAGTCCTGACAGTCTGGGGAAAGGTGGAGTCTGACCTCGCTGGCCATGGCCATCAAATTTTAATGAGGTAGGCAAGGAGCTTCAGTCCTAAGAGTAAAGCTGAGAGCTGTTGATGAGAGACATGCTTGTCAGTGTTTATTTCAACAAGGTGTTTTCTTTCTTGTAGAGTGGTGGTTTTTCCATTGCTATTTTCTGGGTTAAAAGTTACTCACTGTGTAAATTGGCTGTGCTTCTGTCTCTCCATCTCTCTATGGGTGCAGGAGCAGACCAATGCTGCTTTTAACACATGGCTGTGCTTTGTCTCTCTGCCTCTGGTGGCCAAGCTCTGCTTTGGATCCTCATTTCCCAAGCACTACAGTGAGAAATGCTAGAGTGAAGTGTGTCATGGGGCTTCAAATGCTCTGCAGAAAGGATGTGGGGAAGCAGAGAAAGAATGAAAAGAGGAACATTACCTCTGTGGCAATTTTCTTGGAATCTATTTCAGTAAAATTAACTATGAAGTACCTGAGAGTTTCCCTCTCCCCACCTTAGTCTCACCTGGCAGAGCCCTGCCCATGCTGCTTTTTGGCCAGAAATCTGTGCGATAACACTTGTCCATTACCTCATGATGAATTTGAGGTCTAAGTATGAAATGAGGCACATCCTTCCCCTTACTTCCCTTCTCCATCATTCCAGTGTCAGAAGTGCTGCTGAGGTCTCCAGCTGAGAGAGGACCCCATCCTCCATGTTGTCCTTGTGATCCTGGCACTTGGAGTGGTGAACACCCCAGATACTGCAAAGCAGGAAAGAACATTAGGTGGACACTGGAGCCTAGCTTGTCCCTTAAGACCAGAGAGGATGCAGACTTTGAGGAGATTCTGTTCAGCTCTCCTCTCAGACTGTGCACACCCAAATGGGTGTGTTACAGACACTGAGGAGAGTAGTGGAGATCTGGCACCTTCTTGGGGGATTTCTACCCTAAGCATGGCTAAGGCAAGGAGCCCACATCTCCAGGCACATCTACTGCAAAGCTGTAAAAAACATCTTTGAAAGATGAGCCAAAGAAGGGGGCTGTTTTCCTTACCTGCATTATCATGATCCAGATCAGCTGCCATTTGAAGGAAAAGGAATGGAATGGGAATGAAGTGGGTGGAAATGTGATGGCTTTCCCCTCTTGTGGTCCAGAGCAGGAGTGCTGGAGGGATAACAGGAACCTGAGCCATCCTCACCCATCCATCTCTGAGGTGGCTACTTTGGCTCTGAATTTGCCACATGCTAGAAAAAGCAGTTCCCAATGGAAAACTAGTACCGTTTTTCTTACAAGTATCACAGATTAGAGCATGGCATTAAATAAATAGATGTCAGCCCATGACTTTGCGCTCCCCTGCCAACCCAGGTCTCCTCCAAGGAGTTTCTGAGGGAGGAGAGAAGGAAGAGGGAAGGGAGAGAGAGTGGGAAAAAAGGTCAGGAACCAAGTTCCTCCATGTCTGCAATCATAGGGTTTGGGGGCACAGTAAACTCTCCCATCCAGATGACATTCAAGAACACACAACCTCCAGATATAAGGGACCTAAGGCTGGGGGCTGTTTTTTTGGTTGAGTTTTTTTTTTGTTGATTTGGGTTGGGTTTTTGTTTTTGGTTTTTTTTTTTTTTTGCTATGAGAAGCTTGTAGAGCTCTCATTTCCTGGCCAACAAATCATGGGCTGATAAGAGAGTTTGTGTGAGAGCCAGGAGTCTATAGGTGGGCTCTCCAGCAACAGTAAATTGATGAAGACAGGTGGTTTTGTCTACTTTTGGGTTTCCTTCACATGAATACAAGAACTCACCTCTCAGTATCATGACTAGCCTTGGCTCTTGTCTCTGTCTTAAAACCGTTGACATAATCCAGGAGAAGGGTGCCAAAGAGTTATCAGAACTGTATGGAAAAAATACAGGCACTTCCTCTGTTGCTCTAGTTGGGCATGTTTAGGGCAGTGTCTCTGTCATGACCAGAGGGAATGGAAATAGACAGTGGTGATCATCTTAAGAAATGGGTAAGAAGATGGGAATAAAGTAGATTGAGTACTCAAAGGGAGGTATGTCAGGAGCTTCCCCTCTCCAAAGTCCCTCTGCTTTTGTCCACAGACTCTTTCAGGATCATCCTGAGACCCTCGATCGCTTTGAAAAGTTCAAAGGCCTGAAGACCCCTGATGCGATGAAGGGCTCTGAAGATCTGAAGAAGCATGGAGTTACTGTTCTTACCCAACTGGGCAAAATCCTGAAGGCAAAGGGTAATCATGAGGCCGAGTTGAAGCCCCTGGCTCAGACCCATGCAACCAAGCACAAAATCCCTGTCAAATATCTGGAGGTATGGAAAAGGGCAGAGAGTCTCAGTGTCTGATGTGTAGTGAATGTGTGTAAGACAGCTGTGTGAGAGTTGGGCTTTCATTTATTGATGACTAGTTGGACTTCAGTGAGCTCTCCCTCAAGTCCAGGGTCTGTGTGTTCAAGCAGGAGGAGGCACAGAAAGGGCTCATGGTATGCAAATGGTATGTGAATATCCAAGTTTAGATTTCCCATTCCAAACACCGCATGCAGTCTGACCAACCCTTGATAACAACAAACCAGCCCATGCAGCCTATGCATGCCTGGGAAACTGTATTACATAAGGACTGTCAGTGACTGGACACAAGGGACATACAATTTTAGAGTAAGCCCTGGAGGATCCATTGGAGACCAAGACCCATAAAAGTAAGTGTTATACAAACACAGGGCATGAATTTGCAGTCTTAATGGATGAGGCTGACAAAAAGTGGAAAGGGCCATGGTCTACTCAAGGTCATGAAGCAGATCAGCGTCAGAGCTAGGAATAGAGCCCAGTGCTTCTGCCTAGCCCAGACTCCTTGCATACTAGACCTCACTGTCTCTCCAGAGGCAGCAGGAAGGCCTACTGAATTAGCTCAGAGATATTTCCAGGCTCTGCAACCTATTTCTTAGTCTGGCTTTTCTGAAAATAAACCTTGAGTGTCCCTTCAGTTTTTCTTTCTCTCTTTCCTTCCTCATAGTTCATTTCTGAAGTCATTATCAAGGTCCTTGCCGAAAAACACGCTGCAGACTTTGGGGCTGATGCCCAGGCTGCAATGAAGAAGGCTCTGGAGCTGTTCCGAAATGATATGGCCAGCAAGTACAAGGAGTTCGGTTTCCAGGGTTAGCACATACGCACAAAGGAGCGCCACGATGGAGGGCCTGGCCACGCATCTTTCCCCAGTGCTATTTTGGACATCTCAAAATTGGCCATCTCTGCTGTGTGGGAAAGCTTTGATGAGAGGCCAAGAGTCACTCCAGGCAGCATAGAGGCACAGAGTGATATCCACGATAAACTGTTGTTTCCTGGCTTCATGTATACAAAAGAAATATTCTGCTTTTTTAGGAAAAATAACATTAGGGGTTATCTGTGAGCTTCAGCCTATTTTATCCCCTTTCTCTCTCTCTCCCTGAAACTCAGTCTCATCTGAGAGGCAAATGGCATGGCCAAAGATGAAGGGATGTGGAGGATCAAGGCAAGTGCTGAGTGTGGTGAATGAGTGAAGGAATGACTCAAATGAGAGATGTGAGAATGGGAAGCAGGGACACAGCATCCCATTCCTCCCACAGGTGAGACTGTTAGCAGGTTACTATGGAGAGCTTCCAGCACAGTGTTACCTTGCTTTGTGGGGGTGAGTGCAGCCAGTCAGTCTCCAGTGCCTGCCAGCTCTGGAGGATTTAGTTGTTGAACTTGCATTAGCAAAACTATAAAGAGCAGTACTCCCTGTGATCTGTAGGCTTTCTAGTAGCCACCACTATGTGTCTGAAGGTCTGTTGCCCTGGGAAGTGAAATATGTGTTTCTCAGAAAATAAAAATACCTGCACCAGAGTTGTGTGTTTGCTCCTGGCTGTACCAACACCCCAGTGAGAACTGGGGGAAAAGGAGAAAATGGAAAGGTGTTTTGCATACATATCTGGCTGCAGAGCAACCTGCACTGTCAGTCCATGACCTGAGCAGCATGTGGCATCTGTCTTAGCCAGGGACTTGGGGCACTCAGATGTCACCATGGGGACATAACCTGATTACTGGACCTCACAGCACAAGACAGCAGCCTCAGCTCAGTGCCTCAGTGCTGAGAGAAGAGCTCCCTGACTAAAGGCCGTGGCCACTGCTGTGCTGTGGGAATATGATGAGGGAAGGTTCCTTATTCATTTATGGAGAGGTAGCATGTGCAAGCAGCCTTGGCTCCCAGCAGCAGTGCAGTGCATTGCTCTCTCCAGACACTGGAAAGGAGGGGTGATCAGCTCAGGTGGAAGGCTGCAATGGCAGCATATGCTCTGAAGACCCAAACTCTGTTTTTTGCAGCCTTTTGATTTTTTTGCTGGGATGCCTCTGCAGTGCTTGCTGCACTGTGTTTACAGATGTACACCCACATCCTGTCATGTACATCTGTAAACACAGTGGGACAGACATAATGGCAAGATGCCTCCCTCTTCCCGTTGCCCTCTCCCCATCCCAACACCAGGGAATTGTGGCTAGGGGAAATGCATGGAAGTGACACAGCTGCTCTTTTTGGTGTGAAGAAAGTAATGCACCTTATCTCACAGACAGAGTCTGAGGGCAAGCACAAGGAAGAAAAATGAGGTGCTCAGTAACAGGAGCTACTAGCAGGACCTAGTTCAAGGTACTCCCTGCTACACTGTGTGCAGTGGAGACAGTGAAGGAGCCACCAGCTCCCTTAAAAATCAATCCTGTGCCAGCATGATCTGCTGTGTCTTTGGTCAGGGCAAAGGCCAAAAGAATTCAGTCTCTGAAAGGAGAAGGAACAATAAATTCCGTTGCAGAACTGTGCATATCTGATTTCTCGCTGTTTACAGTTCCTCACTTTACCTCTGGGAGCATGCTTGGTGTTTCAACCTTTTAGAGGAGGTCACAAAGGCATATGCTGTCACCTAGATGAAGTTACAGCCAGGTGGTCCCTGGCTTAAGCAGTGTGCTTCGTCTGACTCCAGTCTAGTCAGTCTGGTTTTGTGGGGAGGGCAATATATGTAATTAAGGTCTAGGATTGCTTGTCCAACACAATAAGATTTCCTGCCAGTGACAACAGACTCTGCTTTAGGATTAAAAGCTCTGCTATAGCAGCTGCCTCCGTCAGTCTGAGTGGGACTGGAGTTGTCTAGATATTTTTATGTGGTGGAGGAAGGAGAGTTTGCATGTGTGTTGTGCCTAGTTACCAGTTATTAGGTACCTGGACTAAATGTCAGCCCATTGGGAGCACTGACCTTCTCTCTGCCTGCCCTACTCCACTGTGTCAGTGCACTAGGAACCATCCTTAAATCTCCTGGTCAGATGTGGGGTCTAACAGAGGTTTTCTGGTTGTGTCTATGGCTCAGTGAAGATGTGCAAGCCGAGATGAACCAGCACATTTGGGTACCAATAACAGTGAAGGAAACTCCAGCAGGCTCAGTGATTTGAGGTGCTTGTGGTGAAATCCACCTCCCTGCACCTTTGCTACTCTAGGCACAGAGTATGCCCTTGGCTGAGTCCTGACATGACTGCAGGGATATATGTAATTCCTACAGAATGAGTCTATAAAACTCCTGCAATGGCCCTGGCTTTAAGGACAGGGGAAGTTTCCTGCAACAAAGCAGATGGTGGGAAAAGGATTTTTTTAGCTCTGTGCTATATTGATTCAGAGTCTTTGTTGGAGGCCACCCTTTCACTCTGCTGCTAGCACATAAAATTTTTCTGGTTCATATATAGGACAAAGTCCTTTAGTGGAGATAAACTATCAGCGTGAGCCCAGACATTTTCCTCCTTCTTTTCCAGGAATAGCTTTACATCAGGTGGATGGGTCCCAGGGACTTGTCCCCAGCCCTGGTGCCCGTTGGGACCATGTGGTGTCACATACTCATTCCCAGTCACACGATGAGATGTGGGCTGTGTGGCTGCCAGCCACCTTGCTCCAGCACGTACGCACCGGCTGCAGCCAGGTCGGGCTTGCTGCCCCTCTCCCCGCTGCGGTTTCCATTGCATGCAGAACTCGCCATGGCTCCGAGCCAGTGACCTGTCTGGGATCTCTTGGGCTTCTGTGTCAGACACCAGCCACTCATCAGAATCTCAGATGAGGGGAGCAGGCCCTCGCTTCCCAGACGCTGTGCAAATGAGCTGTCAGCCCCAGCCAGGGTGCAAAAACACTGCAGGCTGTGCTGCCTGTCCCCCTTGTCTTTCCCTCTCCCTGCTGATCCTGCTGACTCCAATACACCTGCCAACGTCAAGGGGCCTCGCAGAACAAGGGCTGGGGACCATACTATTAATCCTGTGATCTTCTCTGGTCACCTCAGTGGGAGAAAGGGATAGGGCTCCGATGACTAATTATGTTAAATATTTAGCACATTAGTATGAAGCTTGTGACATTCTTCATATTTGCATCTCCCTGCAGGGCTAATGGGAGGAAAGGGCAGAGATGTTTCTAGTCCATGTAATAGTCACCGAACAGATAAGTCTGGTTTCTGGGAACTGAAGCCCAGACAGCGCCTGAAGGATGTAATGCCTATATTAATTTAATAAGGACACAAATGCTACCTACACTACATACTTTCAGATGAGGATTATTTTTGTCAGATGAGGATTATTTTGAGGATTATATTTTGATCCCTATGGTTTCTACCACCTGGCGAAAACTTGTCCTGTGTGTTATGCCACTGAGGAAAAGAAATAGTGGAACCAGGTGTTTTTGTGATGTAGACATCCTTGCCCATAACATTTTTTTCCAGAAGGTGCATGGCATCAGATCATGTCCTCCTTCTTCCTGGACTCATCAATCTCAAGTTTGCTCAAGGCTGCTTTTCCAGGCTGTGCAGGGCTTAACAATCAGACTCTGCTTCTCAGACTGAGCACACAGACACACAGAAAGACAGACAGACAGACAGACAGACACACACACACATATACCTACACACAAGCACCAGCTTCAAAATACACAATATAGCAAACATCTCTCCAAATCCTTCTGATTCCAGCATTCTTGTGCACCAGTTCTTCATCTGAGAGAATGATATATATGAGTTCTCACATTGTGTTCAAATGAAGTACAGCCTTGAAATAGATAAGGTCTAACCAAATAAGAAGACAAACTATGCAAGAACAGGGCACCTGGGGAGTACTGGTGGGTAGTAGGGCTGTTAAATTTCATGAAGTTGTGCCAACAGAGTCTAAGTAAGTGAGAAGAAAAAGCCCAGTCAGCCTCTTTTATCCAACAGCCTAATAAATGAGCATTTGTGAACACAAAAGAGTCACAACAATGCAGCGTTCTTAACCAGAACATAAATCCCTCCCTCCCCTGTGATCATAGCCACAACAGGCCCATCTCTCAGTCCTGTGACTTCAATAAAATCCTTATCCAAATGTCAGCAAAGGTGACCTTGTGCCTTTTTAAAGCAGTACTTTATAGTCACTTGACTGCACTTTACCAAAGTCCTTTCCCAGTTTGGCTTTCATGCCCTGCAAGTAAATAAACAGAGCAGGCTGCCTCCACCTTCCCCTCCAGCCCTGCAGTGACCACTCGTGATAAGCCATGTCAGACAGGCAGGTCTGGGGCTCTCCTGGGCAAGGCAAGGCAAGCCCTGGCATGGGGCATGCCAGCAGAGATGGTAGCTGCATGGACAAGGCAATGTGCATTTGGGATGGGGAGGGATACGTACTGGTGTGTACTTAGCTGCACCTTATATCTGGAGGAGGGCTTAAAGGAAATTATGCCTGTTTCCCGTTTCCCCTTCTCCAAGGAAAGCTCAGTATGAATGCAGCTGCTGGGTGCTCGATCTTATTTTAGATTGTCCTTAAAACAGGTTCAAATGTTCAAGTGTCAGAATGGATTTGGGTGGAAAACTTTCTGGATTATTAGCACTTAATTCTCTATGTCTCTATGCTTAGCTTGTGGATCTTCCGTTACTTCCCAGTATATATAATTAATGGTGCTTTTATTAAGATTTCTTATTTTCTGTCCTCCCTTAACATATTTCCTTATTCATGATAAATTTCAGCATCCAAGCTCTTACCACAGGGGTGGAAAATTCCTGGAGCTGATACCCTCACCAAGATCTGGGATTGCTCTGCTCAGGGCTTGCATGACATCAGGCTTGTCCTTTTGGCAAGCTTTGGGGTTATCTGGAGAGTTAGCTGATACAGTGTCAAAGTGAGTCTGTGTTTTTTCACTCAGCTGGGTGAATAGTCTGGTGCCCTTTGAGGGATGCCACAGATTAACTGTGAGTTGGTTGGGTATAAAGGAGTAAAAATACCACAGAGTTTTGTCTAAACTAGCCATATGGTGTCCCTGCAGAGTCTGTGGCTGAGCAAAGGGTTTGCACCAGTCACGCTCAGACAAGCTGTCCAGAGATGGTGGAAGAGCACACCAAGTGCCACACTTGCAGCCCTCAGCTCCCCCTCTGAGGGCAAATGAAGCTATGGGGCTTCTAAGGAGGAAAGAAAAATGAAATACAGGTGGGAAATGGAGGCACAACTGCCCCCCTGCCCCTCGAGGCTATTTACTCTCTTAGTGCCTCCTGAAGAGCAGTCGCATCATTCT